CAGGAGGAATTTAGAAAGAAATCCTTGCCTTGGATTATATTTGTATCTGCACTGAGTGACAGAATAAGATTAAATTTGAAGCTCAAATGCGTATCTGTGAGGGAGTTATGGATAAAAAAAAAAAAAAAAAAAGCCAATGTTTGTACCTTAAACAAACAATAGTTAACGTTACCCAACAAAGCGCAAGCCTTTGGGCTGTTGTTAAGCAGCATTGGCTTTTGGTTTTTGCTAATGCTGCTTAACACAGACTGACGTTACTCTGGTTACCTTTACATTTTAACCTTCAGGCGACGAGCTAATGGGGGATTCAAAATAACCCTTGTTTACATGTGAGTTTGTGCTAGATTTAAGCTGATACATGCTTTAACAACATGCTTGTTGTTTACCTGAATATAAAGTGTTATCCACACACCAGAACCTGGTGTAGGTGATAAGAAAGTGTTATATTGGTGACTTTATCATCTGGGGAAGCATGTCTTCACTCATAAAACAGTAAAGATTAGACTCATTAAGACATCAAACAAAGTCACAACCAGTGAGAAAGGCAAGTAACTAGATCCCTTTAATGTGCTCCTCGTTTTCAAAGAAAATCCAACATGAAATTTGGGTTTTTAATTCCCACGGTGGCATATCATGACAATGCAGATAACTCTAAACCTGTTTGTCATTTCTTTTAGTTCATTTTGTGTTGCATGTTTTGTGAAAAGGACAATATTGTAGAGCTGAAACGATCAGTGGATTGACAAAACAGTGACATTTACACAGCATTTTCTTCTATATCAGTTAAGTCATTTTAAAGCAAAAAAAAATGCACTGGTCCCAGTTTTTAAAATGTTAATATGTGCTGCTTTTCTTAATCTTCTAATACATTAAACCATATATCTTTGGTTTTTAGACTGTTGGCTGGAGAAAACAAGACATTTGAATATGTTAACTTGGGCTTTGGGAAATTGTAATGAGCCTTTTTTTGCTATTATATACACGGACCAAATGCTAAACTAAGAAAAAATAAATGACAGATTAATTGATGATGAAAATAGCCAATAATATGACTGAAACCAAAAATGGATGCATATTTCCTGTTTGTCTAAATGCATGTTGGAAGAGGAGCTGCCATTCTTGAAATTAGCTTTTTATCTTAAAACAATTCTAATGCTTCATATTTTGCTTCCACAGTGCTTCTGTGTCGGGGAAAAGCTGTGGAAGATTTCACAGGACCAGACTGTCGGTTCCTGTCTTTCAAGAAATCAGAAACTATCTATGTTTACTACAAATTGGCAGGAAGAAGGGCCGACTTATGGGCCGGAAGTGTAAGTATACTGTGGTTAGTATTTAATCGGTATTGGATAACATCTAGGTTCGGCTATGTAGTAATCCTCAACATGTTCTCTTCTTGTATTTGTCAATAGGTTGGAAATAACTTTGGTTATTTCCCAAAGGACCTTCTTGCACTTAACCACATTTATACTGAGAAAGAATTTCAAATTCCAGCAGAGGTATGAAAATATGCTGCAAAATGCAATCTGAAATACAATTAGCACTGCATTTCCCATGCATATTCACTACATTTTTTTTATACTTTGTCATATTTTCAGGAAACAGATTTTGTCTGTTTTGACACAGGATATGATAAGTTCAACAATTACGACATAGATTCACTGTTAGGCTCTTCACTGGAAGAGAATGAGAGTGAAAATAAGGCAACATCTGACCAAATCCAAGTGTCAGAAGATACACAGAAAGAAACACAGCCATCAGCAGATGAGGTCACTGACAGTGAAAAACAAACTGAGCATCATGACAGCTCTGATGATCAAAGTGCCTCTTTACCTGAACTTGACGTAGCAACTGAATCACCTTCTACAGAAGAAGTAGAGTATGATACGGTAGCTACACATGATGCTGCTGAAAGAGCTGCAGAAGACACAGAAATGGAGCAGAAACACGCAGTGGAGTCAGAAAAGAGTGAAACCAAAGATAAACCCGCAAAATCTGAAGTGGAATCTGTGGCCGAAGAAGATTTTGTTTCAGAAAACGAACCGGTGTCGATTTCTGAAGGAGTGCAAATACCTGAGTTAAAAACTACACTTGGAACGACATTTGATGCCGTCGCCACAGATGAAGAAATCACTAAGAATGTTACCCCATATGAAGAGGAGGAAATTGAGTATGAGGAGGATCCTCCCAAAGATGACATTGATGTTAAAGTAGAAACTCCGTTGCTGTCTTTCTCTAAAGAAACCGTGAACACTCCAGCCTCCGATCACGTCAAAGAGCTTGAAAGTCCTTCAACGGCGCATGATGATAAAACAGGCACTGTACCGGAGAAGAACATGTGGACAACACTTGGAGACGCTGTTTTTTCAGTTGTCACCGGAGGAGAGACAACAGCGCATGATTTGAGTTCAGAGGAAGATGATGATGACGAGGACGAGGAAGAAGCTGCTGTTCCAGAAACCCCTCCGAGTTTTAAACAGATGAAGACAGATGTTGAAGAACCAATATCAGTAAAATCCCCAAAAGAGCCAGAAAACATAGAGCCAGTTCTTCTAGATCCTCCTTCCAGCACTATACAAACAGATAATAAAGGGACAGACAATAACTCTGAGAAACTCTTGGTTGTTGATGAGGATGATGATGATGATGAGAGTGATGATGAGAGTTATGGAGAAGTGATCGGACCTGAGGACGCTTGGGAGGAAACATTACAACCAACTGATGAGCCAGCGCACAATAAAACAGAAGCAAGTACAAAGTCAGTGGATCCATTATCACAAGATGATACTTCTGTCGTTCAAGAGGCTCAAAAATCCGATCTCCAAACAGCAGATGAACCCATTGAGCACGAAGAGGATGAGGAGGAAGAGTCAAAAGATACAGAGGTCAGTAATGATAATGCAGGTGTACAGGACAGTCGCGTTGCAATGGATCATAGCGAGGATTTAGACAACGAAATGGCCGAAAACAAAACAGGGACCGATCAAGAATTAGCCAGTACCGAACCTGAAACACATCAGGACCCGTCCACTGAGGAGGAGCAGTCAGAGGATTCAGATGTCAAAGATGATGATAGCAGTCTACCTAATCAGATACATGAGAGTTTAATGGCCAATGTAGAGAGTAATAACAGTCAACCAGAATTATCTGTGGAGGAACCAGAGGTTCAGCTCCTTACAGAGGAGCTGGAAGATGAAATAGATACAGAGATGGAGGAAGAGAAAGAAGAGGAGACAGAAGAATTACTTGAAGATGAAAATGCACTTCCTTTCTCACAAGCAGACGATACAGACGAACCCTCGCCTGAAACCACTCCAGAGCCAGAATATAACGATGGCGTGATGAGACTGACTCTGCTTCGAGCCCACTTCACAGAGAAGAACATGGAGCGGATCCAAAAGCTTCTGGGTCTCAAGAATATCTTCAAAGTAGAGGCCATGTTCTCCGACTTGGACACAGAATTGCAGGCTACCCGTCTCTCGCACACAGGTAACACACAAGACATTGAAAATGCACTCGAGGGCATCCTGGAAGCCTCTGAGAACTCTATCCTGGACGAGATTGAGAAAATGTTGGATAGCCGGGGCACAAAACGCAGTTATGACCAAAACATGGACACTAATAGTTTGGATGAGGAGACTGAAATACTGGATGACTTCCAGGAGCTTGCATTCAGCCTGCGACAGAAGTATTCAACAGCCAGCGACAGCACGCCTTTGTCAACAGAAAAATCATCAGATATTAACGGAGGTAGGTTTTTTTTTTTTTACAATTTTATTGATTTAATTTGAGTATCTGGTAGAGATAAAGGTTGTATAAGTGACTCCTCTGTGATTGGTATTATTACTATTGCATATTCAGTTTTAACCACTGATTTGAGGCTTTCACTGACAAGTACGATATATTGCATCGGCGTATTATTCGCAGATAAAGTGAATGCAGAATTCGATACTGTGGCACAGCAGATATGCAGCCCCGTATTGTCCTTTCAGGCACTGTCCAGACGAGTATCTTCTTTCCAGATATATCCAGATTGTTTCTTCATCCAGTTAAAAGCGATTGTAGTTGACACCTGGGATCAGAATTTGTCTCAAGTGACCATTTGTGTTAGAATTTCACCTCCCTGCCACCAGGGAATCTGGGCTAAAAAGAAAAGCATGTACACCTTTTTATGCTTGGCCATACAGCTCGAGAAGATCACTGTTACTATTCAATGCCTCACCCTTTTTTCACTTTCAAACTCTTGTCCTAGTTGTTAGTCGTAGTCAGTGTGGCTGTGCACAAGTTGAATATGGGGACTCTGACTTTGGTAGCTAGTATGTCGCTTAGTCATTTGATCCAGCTGTATCCTCAGAGTGCTTTGGCAGAGTGCAAAGTGTGAACACGGCCTAATTTCTAAGTACGTTTGTCCTTCGTCATATATTTCGTTGACAAGTTGAAGAAATGTCTCCGTCTCCATATTGAAACGTGTACAGCCCTCGTACCAGCCCCTAGCTCTGCTAACATTAAAGAGTCACACTGACTAAGCAAATATCAACTTCTTAACAAAGCAATAGACCACACCTGCTTTCATTAGATCAAATATGGAATACAATCCTTTCTAACTGTAATCTTTTTAAACAGATCTGGAAGTTTACCTCCTTGATTAATTACTCATTTGTTTTGTTTTAATGTTTTCCTTGTAGATGAACATGAATTAAATGTAAAAGATGACACTGCCCACGTTGTTGAAGAGGAAAAGGTCGACAGCGTCCCTGAGGCTGAGAGTGATGATAACGTCACAGTAACAGATCTTGGGGAAAGCACAGCAGAGACTAAAGAAGAGCAGATCGTTTCGGACGAGGCGCGCAGTGGACCAGATGTCAGCGTGGAGGAAGATGGTGGACACTTTAACAGAAACAAAGACAATCAGCCGAGCTTCAGCGCATCAGAAGAGATGCCAAACGTCCCTCAAGCCACCCTGGAAAATCCCTTAGATATGGGCCTTGGTGTCGAGGTTGAGCACTCGCCCTCAGGTTGGTAATCTTTGCTTTCCCTGGTTTCTGATTGATTGAACTGTTTGATAATCATATGATCCGACAGTTATCTCTGTACTATATCTGCTTGAGATGACAAACTGTAAAGGAAATCACATAAACTGACTAAATGGTACATTTTGTTTCACCAGGTTCTTTGGACTCCATGGAACCAGTGTCTGAAATGCACGAAGAAGAAGTGGGATTATTCTCAACTGGAATTGTTTACATGAGCTGCATCCTTTCGATAATCAAGAATAAAATTGCTGAGTGGACCATTGTGGTAAGTCTGAGAATTGTAAGCTACTGTATACTCTAACTTTGTCAGCTTCGTTGTTTTTGTTTTTTAAATTATATTTATATTTATAAAAAATTATAAATATAAAACACTTGGGAAAACAACTTATTGCTCATTTTGCATCCTCCTGCATTTAGACAGCATGTCGATCAGTTTAAAGGTCCAGTGTGTAGGTTTTGGTGCTATCTACTGGTGAAGTTGCAGATTGCAATCATTTGAATGCTGCTGGCCTTCCAAGCATTTAGAAGAAACTATGGTGGCCACAAAACTCGAAAAACGTGAATGGCCTTATCTAGAGCCAGTGTTTGTATGTCCGCTCTAGCCCACTATACAAACACGGGGGACTCAGTAGAAGAGCAGGAACCCAGAAGTTAACAGCTCAGCCAGCGGAAGTCTCTAGTAGAAGTATTAATCCTGGGTAATTTCTTAGCGCAAAGTGGCTTTTTTGTCTTCATGCACCGCCTCGAACACTGTATCCAGCTCTCTTAATACATCCATACACCCGCTCCCTCTGTAGATTAAAAAACTGCTCCTACTAAGGTTACAAAACTGTACATACACAGACTAAGCATAAATAAACAGGACAACAAGCTCAACTAAGTAGACATAAACTACTATGTACAGTTATTTATATATATGAACAATTGTAGACAGTAGACAATAGTGCAATGGTGCAAAGTGCAAAGGATGCTGAAATCAATATTTACATGCAGGTTTATTTCTTTATGTACATGAGGTAGGTGGATATGACAGTATATACAGAATATACAGTATATACAGAATATACAGTATATACAGCATGGGTAGATGTGTTTTAGGAGGATCTATTGGCAAACTCAATTTTACACACTGAATCTTTTTAAGTATGTGGCGTTAGTGCCCGCGGGAACCACATGAGTCGCCCGCAAGCCTGTTCTAAAAATTTAAATTGAATATTGATATTAGCTGTTTCCCACCTTGTAAAGTCATTGTTGATAATTATTGTGAGAAATCAATTAACGTGACCAGTGTCTTCACATAGATGAGTATCATTAATCATTAATAATAATAATATATAACTAAAAGGCAAATGTGTTATTTCAGAAGAGTGTATCAAACTGAT